GTTGTTACAATTACATCAGTTGCACTTTTGACTGTTTGTAACTAGTGAGATGTTGATTTTTTTATTGGTTTACTCATATACACTGTCCAGAGTAGCCCAGGTTGTGTCATTCTATAAGGATACTAGATAGATACCTAGACAGACAGAAACTTTTCTGATAAATGTATTTATTTATAATATTTATATAAGCTGACTTTCAAAAACTCATAGCAGCTTACAGAATAATACAAATATTAACAAAAATCAGCCCACCCCAACTAAACTCAGTATTGTCCTCCTTAAAAACTCTACAAAAATGTTCAGTCTTCAAGACCCTCTGGAAAATTGTCAAGGAGAGTGCCTGATTAATCTCAGGAAGAACTGTGTTTCACAGTATAGACCAAAAAGCAGTGTGTTCTTTTCTCTTCTCCCTCTGATCTCATTTGGAGCAGGGTTTTTAACAGAACCCTTCTGTCTTGACATACTGGTCAGGTCAGTTTTTCTGAGAGATTGTGGGAAAGCTGGGGGCGAATCAGTTGACAAATTATGTCCAAAGGGCAATTCATTCAAAGTAGGAATCATCGGGGAAAAAGCATTTCAAAGAGACTCCATCTTAATTAACTCGCTATAAATGAATCTAGGAAATTATGGGAAATTCTTATTACAATTGCCAGATAGTCTTCAAAGGAAGCGCTATGTAAAATTAATTGCAATAGTCAATACAAAGGTGATTTAGGGGATGGGTAACTGTGGCCAATGCATCATGCTCCAGGAAGAGCTGTAGCTGGCACACCAACTAAAGCTGGGCAAAGCCCCTGCCCCAGCCATAGCATCCACCTGTTAACCAGGGCCAGCCTTACTTAGTTTCCTGGGTCAGCCGGGTGCTCTTACCTGCTAAAATCTTGGCAGAGATACCTAATAAACAAGCCCTTGTAGTTGAGTATAGTGATAGTCTGACATGGCCAAAAGAATCTGAAAAGTGATCACATAAAAGCATACATTCTATCCCTTAAGTGATGTCCTTGTTTCAATGAGAAAGAAGAACCCTTGACAGTCTTTTGTTCTAGATGACGCAATTCCACATGAGCACAGCTGAAGAAATAAATACTTGAGATCCAAAATCTTTGATCGGGATGATAGATGTAACTGGCTCAACAAATGCTTTATTATGCCATATGACATTCGCAATTAAACTGTTGGCTGTGGAAATGCTGTTGAAGAATTACTTGGCTTCTTTGTTCAGACAGTTACATTGCAATTGTTGAAGAAAAAAAATTAATGTTTAAAAATATAAATTGTGTTTTTCTTTGCATAAGGGTACCAGTTTGAAAAATAAAATAGAAAAGATTAGTAGCTACAGTTTAAAGATTTATTTTCAGGCACAAAGCATATTTTGTTGGAGTAAACTTAATGCATTTAACAATCAAGATATGTTATTTCTAAAATGTATAAAATCATGTTTGCTGCAACATATTTGAAAAAATAGATAATTATTAGTGCAATTTCGTACTATACTTTTAATAATTCTTACAATGCCTGTTTAAAAAGAAGCAGTTGCTCAGGACTGTCTACACCACTAAGTACATAGGGGTTTTGACATTTATTGTACCTTCCTTGAATTCATTTGTCACCAAGTAAAATAAGAAGCAAACACATGGCATTTGAGACAGAAAAATCAAAGATGCTTAAAGTTATTTTTACACTGACAGGGTTCAGTGGTATCAGCCACAAGGTGTTAATCAACTGAATAAGCTTTTGGGGCTTTTTTCAAATGCTGTATTACAGTCTTTAATGCATTGCCAAATGAAATTATCTTGTTCCTTAAATACATTTATTTGGATTTATTTCCAATAACTGTGCTCAGGATCTTGGACTTACTACATTTCACATACTATCAGTGAAACAACATGAGACAGCCAAAATTAAACAAGCCTGGATGGTTTTACTGTTCATATTGTGACTGTATTTGTTGTGGGTATACTGCTGTTGTCTTTGATTAGTTTGCTAGAAAATGATATTCTCCCACAATAGATAAATAATATACTGTAGATTTGCTTCAGAAAAAAATAGTAACTGTTTCTCCACCCTTATTGTATCTGTCCATGGCTGTCCAGCAGCCACATAGAATGTTTAGGAACATCTTCAGGAGTGCTTTGAAGAATATTCTACCTATCTGGTAGATTAAGTCACTCACATCCACTCAGAGTTGGACTCTGAATGGCAAGTTCAGTCGAGGCGCTTGGGGCATGGTCTTCTGGGATTACCTGGAGTGAGTTAGAGCATGTGACTTCTAATGAATGGACAGAGTCCTTCAAGGTTATGAGCCCAGCCACCTGTTTATTAGCTCCATGTCCCTCCTGGATTGTCAAGGCTGCCCAAGAGGTGACATACAGTTGGGTCCATACAGTTGTGTCAGCTTGTCTGAGGAAGAAGTAGTCCCTCCAGCCTTAAAGGAGGTAGTGGTGTGCCCCATCCGCAAGAAACCATCACTGGACCCAAAAGTTCTGGACAATTTTCATCTAGCCTCCAACCTTCCAAAGGATGGAAGGTTGCTGAGAAGAAAATCAGGCAACAGTTTCAGAGATCCTGGAGGAAACGGATCAACAATACAAACTCAACACATCATTACAGAAAGCTGCCAAATCAGATCATTAGTCTATATAGCTCATTAACTGTAGTCAGCTCTCAAGGGTTTCGAAGGAGAGTTATAGGTCTATTTCTAAGTTTTTGGAGGCTATGCACACCTGTTGGTCTCTTCTGGAGCAAATATTTAACCAGTTCTTTTGGATTGGGGTTATGAAGACACAGTTGCCATTTCTTCCAAATAAGATCCTACATTACAGGAATTCCTGCAAAAGACTTTCTGGTATTTGTGTAGAGAAAAATGGTGAAAGGAAAAGTGTGCTTACATAAAGTTACATTTTAACTTTCCTTCTGCTACTTTTACATCAGTTTTTTCTCCCACCATCTCCTGTTTCATAATATTTGTAAATCAGTTTCCTCATCATCTAGGATAGATAATGTGGACTAGTGCATGTGGAAGGGAAAGCTGCAAAAAGTTATTCCCACTTCAATTATTGCTGAAATATTTATATTCTGTTTATTTTATTGGAATAGTCCATTGCTTATATTGCTGCATGTTATGTTCTTTAAGTTAGTAAGAGACAAAAACAGCAAAATCAATCATTATAACTGTCCAGCCCTGAGAAACACAAAAGCCAGTTGTGCAAACAGAAAAGTATTTGGAGCAAACGTTGTTTTACCGAAAATCATGCATGATTAGGAAAGTACCAATGTATTTGTCTGCTTTTGAACCCAAAATTACAAAATGAGCTTGTACTTGGCTTGCATTCAGATGCTTTCATTCCAGCTTTCCTTTATACTGGCTGTTCTTGTATGCTGAAGGTTCTTTTTAAATATATGTAATTCCCTTGGTAAAAGTATTCCACGCAAAACTGTGTTGTATTGATCAAATATTTGGCTGGATAATCACACAGGTTTTTTTAATGGTACATAGAAACATCCATCAAGATCTTTTTCTTTCCTAGTCGACCACGTTTCTAATATACTGGGCTGTTTCATGCATAATGTCACAGCAAGGTTGGATACTATGGAAATAAGCACTTGTTACACATTTCAAGTAGTCATTTTCTCTTTGAATAATCTGCTTAATTGGTTTCTTTTTAGTTTTTTGCAAACCGTAGTTTGACATTAATTTGAATCAGCAATCTATGTCTTATGCCTGCCGAAAAGTCAGAGGCTCTATGTCAGATATACCAGCAATTTTTTTTTTTTTTTTGGTCACAGACCAGTAAGGACTAAAAAGTAAGTGGATTTGTAAAGGAAGACGGAGAGTATACAACAGTAGTACCCTTTCCTGTAACACCAAGGTTTGGCCGAGAATTACATGTGAAGTGCCTCAAATGAGATTTTTATTTTTGTATTTGTTGTGAGTGAATTCTGATTTTGTGGATAGTCAAGCTTACAGCAGAATCTCCCTTACCATTTTGAACATTCATTACCTACCTTGAACTTCAGGTAGGCCTTAGTGACTGTTTCTGACTGCTTTCGGAATATTTGTGATGGAATTCCATTAGAATAAGAAGAGACGGACACTTTTGTGGTGTCAGATTAGTACCCTCCCCATTCAACCAGGACTCAGTCAAAAAGAAGATCAAAGCCCCACCTTAATGTATTTAATTATAATGAGAGACAAGGAATTCATATCCAGTTTCTGAGATTCTGTAATCTAACCCCTTTTTTCTTTGCAATAAACCTGCATACTCAAATTCTGTGAGAATCTTGCTTTTTTGATTGTGAACTGCTGTAAGTAGCTTGAACATATTATTCTTAGTGTTTATACCATGTCCTTGTAGATCAACATTGCTATATCCTCATTAAGGATAGAGGCTTGAGGTTGTGAAATGGTAGCATGGCCAGGGCTTTGTAGTTGATATTAAAGGCAAGATTTCAGTCAGGGAATGCTTGAGAACTCAGCCTTAAGTATGCTATGGTTTTTCCTTTCCTATAGAAGTAAAAGAGCCACAACAGGATAGTTCCCTGATACTGGTAAGGATTAGACTTATGGCTTCACTTCACACTATATTATATTTTTAATGATAGAGAGTTGCCTGATAAAAAGAATGAAAGTCTGATTTGCTCAACCCATATTCCCATTACGTATCTGGTGAAGCAAAAACATTCTGTGTGTATATCAACAAAAGCAACAAAGCAACAAAATGAGAAACTTCTAGTTGAACATTCAAGCTTTTACCTTGTGTCCCCAGTTTAAGAAGCATAATTTAACTGGCTTTAGGCATTCACATGCAATTGTTCTGTGTGATTTTGAAACAAATGAAAAACAGAATTGCTCAAGCTCAGTGAAGTTAGGGCATAGCGGTGATGTCTTTAAGCCACTTTAATCTTTAAGAAAAGAAAGCAACATATATGGTAAACATGTGAAATGAGCATGGGATCATTTGTATTCAAAATACAGTCTACGTTGATGTGTTTCTTTCCAGAGGACTATGCCCAGCTGTGCAACATTCCTGTTCCTGGATCTCGGCCGTATGGGCAAGACGCATTGGTTGACTTTGAACAGGAACACTATACTTCAGAAACTGATCCATATTTCATGGAAGACCGTAAGCAACCTTTACTCCTTAAACCTAAGGATGTATAACTTGCTTTTTTCTCCTTAGATTCCACAATATTCAAAGAGTTGCATGTTTTCTATGCTTATTTTGGGTGATATATATATAGATATAGATATAGATATTTTTTAGAGATCTTCTTATATTTGAATCAGGAGAAATGAATGGGTTCAGTACAATAGCAAACTCTGACATTTTTTATTTCAGTAAAGTGAGTTAAGTGGGTAAGTGTGACAAGCTAAGCATTCAAACTCCAATGAATAGTCAGTTTTCTTGCTGTCCGACAACTGTTCCTTTGGAACAGACAGCATTAGACATTCTAAAGAAATGTGCTTTTTAGTATTACTATAGAAGTGCAGACTTGTTCAGTGCCATTAATTCAAATTTAATGCACAGGAATAGCTTGGGTCTAGTACACAGTTGTAAAATAAAAGGCTTAGAAACCTTACCAGATCTCCTTGTAGGCTGTGATACACCTCCGAGGTTCCATAGCAATGATTGAATCATTTTCAGGGTTTAAAACGAAATATTCTTAAGGGGCTATCTTCACAGTAGTTGATAACTTTACATCTATTTATGTATTTATTTGTTAGATTTATATCCTGCCTTTTGTTCAAAGCAGGATAAATAGCAGTCGTCCCCCCGCCCCAGCTTTTCCCCACAAAAAACACTCTGTGATGTATGTTGGGCTGAAAGAGGGGTGGCCCAAAGTTACTCAGTGGGCTTTTGTAGCCAAGGTTAAACTTAAACCTGGGCCTCCCTAGTGCCAGTCTTAAACACTACACCACACTGGCTCACATCTACCTTTTCAACTTTTAAAAGAAATCTCAAGATGGGCTGCAGCATAAAGCAGTACAGTCAAGTACAGTGTAATGAGACAGACTGAATTACCAAATTTGCTAGATTTCAGCCAAAGAATAGTCATTTGTGGCTTGTAGACCCAAAGGCCATGTAATATCATATGAAAAAAAGCATCTAAATTTCAACTGCCTTTTGCTCAAGCCTAGAAAGAGGTGATTGGGGAAGTAATAAAATGATTTTAGGAGGCAGAATGTAGAATATTGGCATTGGCATCAAGCTCTCGTGAACAATTTCTATAAAAAAAAAAAAATCCCATCAAAACTTACTACTTTTTTCACTATATTTCTTACACATGCCCCACATATCCTGGTCTTATAGATTATCCCTGGCAGAGATGGGGGGGGGGGTAGTACAGAAATTACATTAATATGTCTTGAATGTTTGACCCAGGAAATACTATCCTGCTTGCTACCATATGTACCTTACAAGAGCTGTGGAAACTGGAAGAGAACAATTATCTCTGACATACAAGCAGCATCCTTAGGAGTAGCCTTTTCATCTCAGTGCACAATTAATCTATTGAATTAATAACCATAGAATGTAGTAACATCCAATGTTTTCATTCTGACTGCAAGCACAAGAGCCAGCAAAATAAGGCTGTGTAGGAGATTTTCCCCTGATTTCCCCGCCTCAGAAAAGATGATATCTTGCTGAAATGCCATTCGAGCTGGGGCTGCTGGCTGCACTACAGTTTTTGTCCAGGGCTGGTGCAAAAGATCCCACACTGTATGATGTTATTTCATGTTATCTTATGTTATCGGTTCTGGAACTTTAATCCTGAAAAGAGAAGAGTGTGTAACTTGAGTGTTCTGTCAGAGTTTTGCTGAAGATTATCCTAGTATTTCTTATAAGGCATCTCTTGCTTAGCACTTAGTGGGGGAAGGCTGCTGTAAGAGCGTTTGTGAGAGAAAAGTCACCATGCTATATATGGGTATTTGCTAAGGACAGTGGATGTCTTTTATTTGTACAAGAGACCTACAGTAGCACCCTTTGTTCCTGCCTAGTCCTGCCTTTCATCACTGTCATCCTAAACCATAGATCAGTGTTGTCCAAACTTGGCCACTTTAAGATGAGTGGACTTCAACTCCCAGAATTCCCCAGCCAGCCATGG